GTTTTATCACCTAACTTAATTTCAGTGGCATCGAAAGTTAAAAAAGCGAAACTTAACAGACAGCGGGCCTCCTCTTTGACTTGACATAATTTATTACTGACCCATTTCAGATTTACATCCGTATTCAGGACAAAATCAATCGATCGGCATCAAAAGTGCATATCAGTGGCGTGCAATGCAGATGTGTTTCGATATCCTGGGCGAACTCATCATTTCCAAAAAAAGAAAAATAATCACCCCTAAAAAAGAAAAGAAAAAAAAATTTTTTTTTGAAAGAAAATATGTAGATTTTTTTATGTTAAATAGTTAGAAATTATTCTAAGGTAAATAAATCTTTTCTTGCAATTTCTTTTTCTTTTAATACAAAGTATATTTAAATATTTTACGATCAAAACTTCATTATTAAATTTATTTTAAATCATATTTTAATCTTCACAAAATAATTTTGTTTTATCCAAATATGTAATTGTTTTATAAAGTTAATTTTATAATTAAAGCAGTTGTCATAAATTTTAAGTTTTAATGCCCTCGTCGTCCGTTTAGAATCGTCGCCTCCTTTGCCTCCTATTCTCTAGGAAACTAGTCAGAATAGTTGTGGTCCAAATTTATAAACTCATATTTTAGATGAGATATTTTTGAACTATATTACTTGAATTCTAGATAAACTTGATACTTTAACATATTACCCTTGACACATATTCATTTTATCAATTTAATTTTGAACAAATCAGTATTATTAATTAAATTAATTAAAGCCTTTGCCTTCCTTTCTCTAGGAAACTAGTCGGAATAGTAGTGGTCCAAATTTATAAACTCATAATTTAGATGAGATATTTTTGAACTATATTACTTGAATTCTAGATAAACTTGATACTTTAACATATTACCCTTGACACATATTCATTTTATCAATTTAATTTTGAACAAATCAGTATTATTAATTAAATTAATTAAAGCCTTTGCCTTCCTTTCTCTAGGAAACTAGTCAGAATAGTAGTGGTCCAAATTTATAAACTCATAATTTAGATGAGATATTTTTGAACTATATTACTTGAATTCCAGATAAACTTGATACTTTAACATATTACCCTTGACACGTATTCATTTTATGAATTTAATTTTGAACAAACCATCATTATTAATTAAATCCCCCCTTTTTTTCATGGGTGTTGTCAGAAAGCGGTGTCAATCGTGGTTCTCCAAATGCGAAATCGTTGTCATTCGTAAAGAGAAGAAAAGGTTAAACGATTTAAACAGCGGATAGAATGCTCTTCCTCCTAGTTATATTCCTTTATCAAAACAAGGAAATTCAATTAAAGAAATGAACCAAATTAATACGTATTGTTATGAGGATACATCATTCTAAATTGTATGTATTTTGAAATACTGTTGTCATATACTGACGTTATTCTTGCTCATTAATTCAAGTGACAAAACAAATTTAAACTGAAAAGACGATTCGCAGTTGATAGAGGAATAATAAAATCGATATTTATGTTCGATTTTGTAGCAGACTCTTGACATTTCGAGCTGACAAGGTCATTATGTCTCTGCAGGAGGATGAAAAGAAAGCTGATCAAGATGCTGTGACGTACTGAAACATTACTGAATGCGTTGGACCAACTAACATAGTTTATCTTATTAATATTCATGACACAACATTTTTAGTTCTTTTCCGTGATTTTAAAATTCTGTTGGTATGCATATTAACTTCATGCGTTTTATGTATGAAGCTTAATTGCGCACCTACATCTAAACATTTTTTTACCTTGTTTTGTTTTTAAATGTAAGAATTATTTTATTAAGTAAATTCGACTTTTGCTCGGAAAAAATGAATATTTTTCATCCAATTGATTGGAAGTGGTGGATTACGTTTAGATTTTATCGAAGCTATCAAAATTGATTTTTAATCGGTTTTTTAAGTTCTAAGAAGGTTTGAAATAAAATCTATATAAATTGACGAGTTCGCTAAATCGTCAAACTTTATAATATCAGAGATTATTAAGAAAACCGTATATTAAGAAATACGGAAAATAATTATTCAGAAAGAAAAAAAAAGTTCATGAATGAACATATATATTTCGATATTTCGTTATTGTATCGCTACATTTAGTGAACAAAAACTTGTTGATAAAATATGAACGGTTTTTCATATTATCTTAGTCTTGTATATTTTATTACCTAGGTTATCGTAATATTAATTAAATGGATAACAGTATTTTTCTTTTTTTTTGTTGTTAGGAACGATTTTTGAAAATTGTGTGGCGGGGGAGGGGATGAAGCAGTAACTTGTAAGTCAATCAGTAAAAAGTTGCAGCTAAATTTTTAAATCTTATATTGATATAATTTCTTTGCTAAGAATTTTTTTAATTGTTAATATAGTCTTAAGTCAATTATTTTTTTTAATACATCCTTATAAAATTGGTAATAACTAGCGCCTACGTATACATACGTATAATTAATAATTTTGCTTCCTCGTATTAAAACATCGAACTAGCGCGTACCATTGCGAAAGCAATGAAAATAAATGTGACATAAAAAAATAAATAAAATAAAACAAACCAGCATTTCGTCTGAAATAATGGTTAAATTTCCCCCATTTTTATTTTTTCGGCAAAATTTTCCTTATATTTACAGTCTCTTACGTATGTTCCTAATTTCTGATACTTTTTCCTTTCATTATTTATTTTCTTTCGTTCACTGAGGATAATTTTGTTTTCAATGAGTTTCTAACTCGAACTTTGGTTTTATATTTGTCTTTTCTGCTGTTAACCGTATACAAGTCAACAACTTCTGTGTAAACAATTTATATGAAAATATAACATCGTTATCAGTTTATGATCAGTTGTCAGTTTAATCTTGATAATAAAGTAAATAAAAGTGTGCTTTTTTTTTCAACATTTCTTATGTAAAATTACAAAATCGGGTTTTATTTTGAAATAGAAATTTGTGTGGAGTTATCGCTTGTCTTTGGTTTTGAGTCTTAAGTTTAGAGTCACTACAATGTTTTCTTAGGTAGTTTGATATAGTTTAATGACTTTATTGTATAAAGCTTGATATATTTAAAATTGCACATAAGAATTAATTAAAATAATCTGTCGGATCATGAACCAATAATTATGTTTAAATTTAGTAGCCACTTATTTATAATGAAGCTGTGTTATAAGTGCTTATCTTATTTTTACAGTTTTCACTTTTAAAATTAATATGCATTACCAGACATAAATATGGTGATTTGTAAACAACACTCTTATTATATATATTTCAAAATTCTTGTCAAAAATGAAGACAAAAAGTATGTAATTAAGAAATCACAAATTATTTAAACTGGGAAAAATTACTAAAATTTGGTGAGCTAGTGTTGTGGAAAGCTGTTAAAAGCATCAAATCCAGGAGGGTGCAAAATTTCAAGGATTTTCCTTTAATTCTATTTCGTTCGCTTATCTAACAGATTTTGATGCTTTCAGTCAGTATTGATTCAAAGTGATTATATTCAGCAGTGATTTAAGTATTAATTTGTGACCCCTCATGATTTTTGGTAATGAGTCGAAAATTATATATTGAGCGGTTATTGAGGGTCAGTTTGTAATATAGTACCTTAACATAACTGCATTTGGTTTTTTAATCTAGTTTATGTCCTTGCTTGTTGCTGGCAATTTATAGTAACACATCAAGAAGTACAGGTGTACAAAGTCTAGCTTTTTCTTCTGGAATGATAAAACGTGGTGATACTTAATAAAAATAAATTATTGTTGAAATTTCTATTGTGTTGCTCAGAGCAACAGAACCTTATTTATGCTATCTTAGCGTTTTCATAATTCAGCATATGAAGGCGAAGGTCATAGACGGCTATCAAGGTGGTTGACTATTCACGAGAAAAAGATTAGATCACGTGAGAAAAACAAAAATACTTTTATACAATGTAATACATATTAGTATTTCGTTAAATTATTTTTAATGTTTCATTGTCTTTTATATATATCTTCATATTTCTATCACATTTTTGTCCACTATCTTTTACCAGAGACGTTTCTAATATAAAGTGCACGAAACGTTAAGATAAATAATTTTTTCGATGTTAATTATTTTCAAGTACTTTTCCTCCTTTCAATTATTATGAAAGTATAAAGATTTCTATTGATGGTGTAATATTTATTTTCATGCTAGTCTCGAAAGTAGATTTTTGTAATGTCTAGAAGAAATGTTTGTTCAATTATTTTTTAATCTATTTATTTGCTATAGAAGAGTAAATGCAAATGTAACAATTTTTTTCTTTTTTTGGAATAGCATGTAATTTTAGATTTTAATAATTTTTGGTTTTTCACATTTGCGTTTTTAAATTTTTAGGATTTCTGAATTAAAATATCATTTGCAGACAGGATTTTCGTTAGTACTTTTCTTTTATTAGTATACTGTAAATTTTTCTTCCTATAATCGATCTCTAGGGCCTTTCAAATACGATGCCTGTTGCAACTTCTCACCTTTTTCATGCAATAATAAGTGCCATAACCATTACTTATTCAATTAATGTTGTGTGATCATGAATATTTAAGCTTGTTATCGGAATAAAAATGTTTCCTAAAACTACAAATTTTAATATTTCTATTACTTATGCTAGTAACAAATTTCGCGAAACAAGTCTTTTCTTAGAACTCGTGTTTATCACTAAATACAATTTGGCTATCATTTTGTCATTTAAGCTTAAAACCCAATTATTAAAATTCTGTTGGTAACTCCGCTTTTGTTATATCTGTGAACTTATCAAAACAATTTATCGAATAAATTTTAAATTCTGCGACTATCTATAGTTTTTGCCGTATGTCAAATGTTGATTAAAATGTATTTTAGCTGTATCTCAACGTATGAAATTATAGTTGCCATTTAAGTATTTCCTTGAAAGAAAAAAAAAAAACATGAAATTGCTTCACGAGTGGCTTTTGTGGTATACCCTGTATTTCTAGCCACTTGTCTAAAATTGAAATGTATATTTCTAATTTTAGGTCAAACTACGACAGATATCCTAGGTATTGCAGGAAGGGCTCGATCCTTAACGTTAGGTGCTCTAAGCCCTAGGTTCAATTTAAATCAAACTCTGAGGGAGAAGCTAGAGAAAGCACTTCCTGAAAATGCTCATCAAATCTGTTCTGGGAGACTTTTCATTTCTGTTACACGATGGAGTGATAAGAAGAATGTTTTGTTGTCTCAATTCGACACCAAAGAGGATCTAGTTCAGGTAAGTTGCAGTATTTATTCTTTGGTCATATTCATTAGGTATGCCTCTCTAATTTTGAAAAAAAAATCTTGAGAGACACTGCCGCTGTTTTGAGTGTTCAACTTTTTTACATTTTGTTTTGTTACATAATATTATAGTAATTATGATTTTTTTTTTTAGCAAAACATTGTTTTTCTGGACAATATCGACTTTTAAGAGAGAAAAAAACAAAACAAAAAAAAACAAAAACAATCAGGAATACAAAACAACTACGGTACTGATGTTTCAGGCCACGTACGTAAGCATCTAAGAGGGGAGGATGGATTGTGTTTTGCTGTTTAGGGGGAAGGAAAAATCCAAAATTGCCCAAAATATGCATACATAACATTTGTTTGAATGACCCCATTTATAGATTTATAGATTGTTGCAGTGCATTAAAACAATGTTTTCGTAATCGCTTAATTTGTTGGGGACCCACAAAAATTATAGTTTATTTAAAATTGAAAAGAATGGCATTTAGTTTTTTTAATTGTAAACTGTTTGAAAAATAAAAAATAGGGAAGTGAAGTGTTAAACAAATTGTTTATAATAAATTGCTTCGAAAGTGTAAATTCGCTTTCAGGTAAACGCATAATTTATTAAATACTTAGCGACGAATGAGACAATATGAATTCGAAATTTATGAATTTTCTTAATACTAATGAATTTATACCTTAATTTACCAATTTATACCTGGTTTAAAGGTAGACTTTATTATAGATATTTTCAAGCATTCGGTTATACGTCTTTCTGTTATTTGTATCTATACAAATTCAAAATCAAATGAGTGTTGAATTTTACATGGTTTTTCAAAGCGCTGTCGTCAAGGAAAATAAAAAAGCCACAGCGTAAATGCCTGACACTTGAAGCAAAGCGATGATTTTAAACTATATATCATCTTGTTGTGAAGCTACGAATCTAACTTTATCTGGGCTTTAGAACAAACAAATAACTTAAATATTTTAAGGGTGTAACTTTTTGAAAATCGTCAATTTGGTGACATTTTTTACACCTAGAAATGAATTATCAAAATCACTGCCTTTTTCTCAGTTGCAAATTTTTAAGCGCAGATAATGCAGTATTGGTGTAAGTTTAAATATATTACCACAAACGCTTATCATTTCCACAATATTGTGGCTTTTCTCCATATTGACGTTTTGCACTCTTTTCAAAATAAGCACAAGAATGCGCTTGCTTTAGATAAACTAAACTTGTCCTAACAGTCGTGAGTAACAGTTGCAAACTCACAGCAGTTATGAAAAAAGCATATTTGCAAAAAAGCATAATTTCGTATGACGACAAAATCTTCGAAAAACAACCTCAAATGATTTCTATGCTACCAAAAAAGTTTTATTGGTTAAATAACGTTATCTCTATTTCTAAATTATTTCGAATTTAATGAAATCTACTTTTCGTTTTTCATGTAAATTACATATGAATGACGTTATGTAAATATTTAATTCCTCTTCCCTTGAAAAATAAAGATTAAGAAAATATTTAATTTATAAACAGTCATTGTTTCGTTACTATTGTTTCGGAAAATGCAATGTGATCCCTTTCTTTTCGGAACAAAAAACCTGGAGGGAGTTATCTAATCAGTTTTTATGCTGCATTACGTAATGATTTTCCCGTGACTGGTTTTGCTGAAGTTCTTCCGCGTTTATCTTCAATAATCCAGGAATTCAGATAAACTGAGAAGGTGTATGTTTATGTGTATTGAAAAGCGTTTATCTAGTTCTAATGTAACTTATCAGATATCGTGGGTATAACGCGCTGACGTTTGTTTGAATTGAATGCTCTTTTTTTTTTATTTATTTAAAAATAAAATAAATTAAAAAATTCGTTGCCTTGGTATTTTTTCCGCACTCTCTTCTTAATGCGTAGTTTTAGTGACCTGATTAGTGTGTGTTGAAGACGCACCTCTTCACAGTGGATACTGATTGGTCGATTTCAAGGGCGTGTTTTTCGACCCTGAAAATTTTGCAGATAGGCATTCGACTGTATAATATGTTGTGATTTTCCGGAATAAATCCCGTAATTTATTTTAATCCATAACGTATGGTGTAACAGTAACTTTAAAGTTCTTTAAAAAATATATTTATCACATTTTAAAGCTGTTATAGAAATAATTTTATCCTTTTATATTTAAGGGTTACCTGTAAACGTTTATAAATCTATTAGGCATATTTATTAATTGTGTAAAAATTTCCGATCGATTCCATCAAAATTGATTTTTATGCAGGCTAAAATTGCATTTATTTATGTGGATGGTGAAAATTGTTTTGAAGCTCTACCGATCCCTTTTATCTAATTGTTTCTTTTACGTTCTTTGTTCAGCAATATTTTCTTATGAACTAAATCGTTTAGTTTTTCTTCCGATTTTTAAATTTGATTTTTCACAATCGATTCAGCCAACTTTTAGAGTGAAAAATCAGTACTTATAGTTTTCAAGGTTGCCTGCCATTACGTTAATTTTTTTTCTAGTCGCTCGATTAAGTAAAACGATAGAATTAGGATATAGAATTCATGGAATTAGAAGATAGAGCGGATCAGGGGATAGAGAGCTCGCGAGACGACTAAGGTTCGAATCCCAGCGATGACGAACTGAACCGCGATGACCACTATGATGTAAAATATTCCTCCTAGTTGGATTACAATCCCTTTAAAGTGGAAGATTTTCGCGGTTTTCCTCTCCATGTAACGCAAAGTCTGTGTTCAACTAAACGTTCTCTTCGAAAGCTCTTTTGTTCTACAATATCTAATCTAAAAGTTTCGTTGTCTTCTGGGTTGGGTTAAAAATAACAAGGCTATGGGGTAGCATCACACCCAAAACCATAAACCCAAAAATGGATTGTCTTTTCAACGCTGGTTATGAATAGAATTATTTTCTTTAAAATAACTTTCGTTTCATGATTTTTTTCATGAAAAAAAAATTCATTTCAAACTTTCACATCGTAAACTAGTAAATCTTTTAATGTATATTGTTAATTTTTCGAGGAAAAAAAAATTATAATTTACTGTTTGTCTTACCTTGCTAATACATATAAGACCTTATACAGTCATAGTTTAAACATTATACATTTTACAGATCTATAAAAATGCTGAAGTCATTTATTATCCATAAACACTCTCATACACTTTCAACACACTGACATAGCTCTATTTTTCAGTAAGAGTAAGATTGTAATCCGAAACTTATTTTTCATGATGATTATAGAGTTTTCTGCTTGTTTTTCTCTATTGAGTTTTCTGTCTACCTTTTGCACTTTTTGTTTCTGCTTTATTTTTATTTTAAGCTTACAGCATCGAGATTATTTTGAAAATATTTATTATTTCAGTTCCAAATAATTTCGAACTTAATTGCAAATTATTATTTTATTTCTTCCATTCAATATCATTCTGCAAGTATTTAGTGTTTCTGAAGTAAGAACGCAAATTTTTAGTGCTTCAGGTTTTGGGAATGTAGCTGAGGCAGTTCTCATTTTGTCTTCCCCCCCCTATCATCTGTTATTTTTTCTCTAGTATTAAGTATTATTTAAAGCTTTTAATGTAATCATTGATTGTTAAAATTTTATGTAAAGTTTGAAAATAAATTTAAAAAAAACTCTATCTGTGTGGGTTTTGGGGTTTTTTAAGATGTTATAAGTTTAACACTTTTTGGGTTTAAATTTTAATTCAAAAAGAGTAATTTTAGTTAAAAGAAAACTTTCACATGAAAATATTTAATAATGAATTAAAAGAAAAAAAATAACTTTAATTTTAACGTTGTACCTTCTTTTCATGCTGGTATTAATAAAATGCTCTTAAATTAATTCCTTCTTTGTTTAGAAATAAAAGCATAATATTAGAGTTCGAGAAACATATTGTTTTCTGTTTTATAACAATTTTCTTGATAGTTTTTTGAATTGCTCATTAAACTATGGATTTAGAAATTTGCCATGATCTATAAGATAATTAATCATATAAACTTTTATTAAATAAAATTTCTAATGCGAAGTAAGTTAGCAATAATTTCACATTATTCAGTATTTTATCATGGTCTGAAATTTAATGAATTTTTATATTTAAATTATTTTGGAGCATTAAAATGTAACTACTAATAAAATATTTTAATCCATCCATCTACATATTTCATAAAACAAAAATATTATTTTGAAAAGAATTAATTCTATTTTTAATATTTTGTTATAATACTTATATATGCTTATTTTACTCGCATTTGAAATCTTATTTATTAATGAGATAAAAGAAAGACAAAGTTATTCTAGTCTGTACTCTACACTTGTTCAATTCAAAACAAATAACATTAAAAAAGCTTAAATTATTGTTTTAAAAAAAAGTGATTTTTCTTAACGTTGATTATTATATTCAAAAAATTATTATATTAATTCAACGTTACATATATATTTATCTAAATACACTTAAGATTTGAAAATATGATAATGTATATTTGTGCATTATGTATTAATATTTATAAATCAAATAAAAAATCACAATTGATATAAGGTAAGATTTTAGTTATATTTGTAAAAAAAAAAATTAAAAAAAACCATTCAAGCCTGTTTTTTATTGGGATTTTTTTTTTAAACCCATCCAGGAATTTTTGGGTTTGTGGACGGATCAAAAACTCTGATTTTATGATGCACAATCTGTATCATTGATTATTTTTTTTAAATTAAATAAGTTTAATTATAAGTTTTTTTTTGTTTTTGTTTTTAATTCAGAAATAATGTACAATTAAGAAATTATTATATCTGATGATATATTACTTGCCAATATGATATACTAACTTATAATTTATTTTCAGGCCATTTTATGCAGCTGCTTCATTCCAGGATACTCAGGGATGAATCTTCCTAAATTTAAAGGAGAGGTAATTAACTTTTTTCTCTATTTGCAGAATAATACTCTTTCTCTCTAAATCTACATAATGATTTAGTATGATTTAATTTTTTTGGCTTTTGCATTATAAATTATTAGTAAAATTTTTTAAAATTTTTTTCAAGTGTGTTTCTTAATTGTTAAAATGTAGTGTTCATGACTTCGATTATTAGGAAGTTTTGACTGTTAAACTATATTAGCACAACAGCCTAGAATGGGCCTTTTGTTCAGAACATTTTTTCATGCAGTTTTCTTTTCCAGCTCTAAGAGTTTTGAAATCTGTATTAAGAGTTCAGCCATAAAAGTTTTGCCGGCTCTCTAGTTCTAACACCAATTAATGTATGTTTTTAAAACTTAAGTGTTGGCTGATATACCTTGCAAGTCTCATTTTGTTAAACTTTGCAATTTTTACTATACCAATGTCCTTATGATTTTTGTAAAATTTTGTATTTGTTGTTCCTCTGTAGAAACTGCCTTATTTAATTCTGAAAAAAAAAATGGTTTGCCATATCTTTCTTTGACAAATGTTGCTATTTATAAATAATTGGTTTCATCAAAATTTAAAAATTTTGGTATTAGATTTAATACATAATTATAATTTATGTTTAGTGTTTTGTTCAGTGATAGCTATGTGCTAGTGGTAACTATTAGTTGTGTATTATTGTTTAAATACTGTGTTAAATGTTTGTTGGTAGATTTAAGATTAAAAAGTATATTGTAATGACATTTAGTGTGTCTTCATTAGAAAAACTTATATTTTGTTTACAAATTTTTGCTAAGATAGTTGCCCAAGCTGTCATTTCATAGTTTTATTATTCATTTTCATCAATACTAATAATACATTTGTTTTAAAACAATTTTCATTGTTGTATACATATTTTTTATATCCCATTTAATGCAACATGGGAATAAATATATGGCTAAATATTTAACGGAATTTAATACATAAATTAACTATTGAATTTAAATTAATTTCTAACTAAATTACAGATTTTGAAGTTAAGATATTGTTAGCATTTAATAAAATCACTTTTCTTCCTAATTTTTTATTTCGGTCATTGTGGTAGTTATCTCAATTAATTAGTGAACGGTTTTCTCTCTGTTATTGGAAATTATTGCTTTTTTTCTTTTAATTTATATGGGCTTCAAATCCTAAAAAATTTACCATTTATCTTAAACTTTAAATTTATATTTTAATTTAAATTATAGACGGAATTATTTATTTGGTAAGTTTCTACCCTATTAAATTAATTCAAATGCTTGTTTATCTTTTAGAAATATGTTGATGGTGGTTTGAGTGACAACCTTCCTGTATTGGATGATGATACCGTGACAGTATCTCCATTTGCAGGAGAACATGATATCTGTCCCCAAGATGAAAGCTTCAATATAATGCAAGTGAATGTGGCGAATACAAGCATTGCAGTAAGTATTTGGTTTTATGTAATGGATTCCATAATGCCTTCTTATATCAAGTCAGAAATCAAAAACTTGTTTTATAAACAAAGTAATGTTATTTTTTTAATGCTTATATCTAATAGTTAGGTAGCAGTGAATTCTGTTCTTGGAAATACACTTCCGTAGCATGTCAAACTAAATTAAATTTCTTCAATCTCTCTTCATTAAATTTATCTCTTTTATTAGAATTTAGAATAATGAAAAATGTCTTTGTTTTTATATGCACATTTTTTGTAAAGATTATTAAAAAATGGATAAAATGATTAGTTAAATGAAATTTTTGAGTTATATTAATAATTAGAAATTAATTTATGGGTGTTGTTTTTTTCAGGTTTCGCCTGGCAATATGTATAGATTTTATAGAATTTTATTTCCTCCTAAACCTGAAATACTTAGCAAAATGTGTGAACAAGGTTTTGATGATGCCTTGAGATACTTGCAAAGAAGACGTAAGCATTTACTTTCGTGTGTCCATACATTGTAATTTTCAAGCTAGTTTTTGTAAAATGTTTTTCTTTTTAAATTTTTATTAATTCATCTTAAAAATATGGAATTCGAAATTATTTATTCTGAGGAGAGCAAGTGGAAATTTTCTTTTGTACATGCTTGATTTTTAAAATGTAGTTTGTGTATTGCACTTTTACATTCTTTACTAAATCATCTTAATGAAATTAATTATTAGCAGTATTTGAGTGGTTTTATCTACTCTTTGTCTTTTAACTGTCGTGCATTGTACTAAATTAGAGTGTGAATATCAGATAAATTTTTTTTCCCTTCTTAAATTATACAAAGTAATTGGTTATCTAGTTAACTGAATAATAAAAAATTCTGGGAATAATTGGACATAACTTGGATAATTAGAGCTCTATTATATCATATAGTCTCCTTTATGAATCTTTTTTACCATGACTCCTTATACTGATAAATATTTTGTTGTCATAGATATATCTATGAGTTTTTTTTACGTTCTGTTTTAAAGGAAGTAGTATAGAATTAGCAATTAGGAAGTAGTTTAGAACTAGCAATTAATTATTTGTTTCTTAAATTCATATTGATTTTCAGATTTTTTGTAGGTATCATATCTTGTACTAGATGCTTAGGCGTTAAATCTGTAGTCAAAATACAACAAAAATCTGAAGAGGACTCTGGAAATGAGCTTACGAAACTGGAACATGAATTTGATGGATGTGAGGATTGTAAGAAAAAGAGACAAAAGGCCAAAGCCAGCAGCTTACCTGATCAAGTTGTATCAGGTACATTAATAATCTAATTGTTTAAATTTGTTTTTTTATTATTTTTTTCTTTAAATAATTGACATTCACACAGTGTTTTATAATTTCTTATTGTTAAGTAAAATAGCAGAACATGGTTTCTCAATTGATATTAAATATCACTAAAATTTCAAAACAATTGCGTCATAAGATTTATTTGATTCCAGTTAAGTGTTATGATATATTAAAAATTTTGTGTGAAATTCAATGTTTCAAGCATGATGCTGACATATATTGAACAAAATAAAATATTTATCTGGTGCAAAATTATTCTTTGTTAAAGAATATTTTTCTAAGATATATATTTTCGTATAAGTTTTGATAAAAATTTTTAATGACTGGCATTCGTTAATTTAAACAGCTATAAAATAATGTATTTGTCATAGTGTTTATATTTTTTTTAAAGTTTATTTTCAATTTTAACCTGAAATACTTGTAGAGGTTGTAAGTAACTTTATTTATTGATTGAATTTTTAAATTTTATTTAAAAATTTATATTTTAATGCAATATTGGTTCTATTCTATTCTATATTTCTATTAAAATTTTATTATATTGAAACTGAAATAAGGGTTTTAAATTATGCATAGTCAGCAATAATGTAATGCTTGAAAAAGTTATAATGAAACATAATAAATTTTCTTTTTAGTATTGAATTCAGTTTTCTGAAAATGTTTTGATTATTTATTTCATTTTTCTACAAATGTTTCATTATTTATTTTTTAGCTATTCAAGATGCTTGTGACCAAGTGAACAAAGGCCTTTACAATTATCTGTTTAATAACAGATTCATGAAACTTGTAAAATTAATGGGAATGCCCTATACCTTGTCTTATGATGTGTCTATTGCAATATTTATTAAGTAAGTTTAAATTATTTTTTATATTTAAAAATGGAGTTATCCTTTGTAAGAGCTCAAATTTTTAATCTCAAAAATTGTGTTACTTTGTATTTTTAGGATTTTGCACTTGTTACCAGATTTTAGACAAGAGTTACTTAATAAATTCCAAGATGTTATTGCTCTTATAAAACAGCTTCTTACCAAATTGGAGACAAAGAACATTTTGTACCGTGCCATGTAAGTACAGTCTTTTTTTCAGTAAATGGTACTATATTTTATGTTGTGTAAATTTCTCCTTTTTATTTATTTCAGTTCATATTTCTCTCCATTATGCATGTCTATCTTATGAGCCTTTAAGCATCTTTCAGCTCAATTCTTCTTTATTAATATTTTCCTTTGAATTTTAATAAAGATTATTTTTTGTCTCTGATAAGTAATTGTTTATGCAACATTTTTCTTTTATTTCATACATTTGCTATGATTCATTTCAATTTTCTTGGAATCCATTACGCACGTTTGTCTTTTCGAGTTCTTAAGCATGGTTTAGCTCCTATTTTTCTGTTATCAATATTTTCCTTTTGAATTTCAATGAAGGACAGTTTTTTCCTCTGATAAGTGATTGTTAATGCATGATTTTTATTTCATGAATTTATGGTGATCCATTTCATCTTAGAATTAAAGTTCGTTGCTATTAAAATTCTACATTTCATATTTCAGTTACAGGTATTGTGAGTGTTTGCTCATTAACTTAAACTGTAAATGAAATAATAATTACTCTTAAAAGTATATTTGTTAAGAGAAAATTCATCATTTACATTAGAAATAATAAATTTGTTTTAAGTGAAACTTTATAATCAAAATTTTTAAACTAATATAAAAATATGTTTTTGAAATTTGCATAATTTTCCATTGAAAATATCAAATTAATTTGAAACTCATCACATTCTCTAAACATGAGACTTTAAATATGAAACATTTGAATCGAAAAGAAAACATTCATTGCAATTTGATTATTCAAAATGTAATTCCAATTTTCCAATTGAAAATTAAATTGTTTATTAGTGAAATATTTAACTCTAGTGAAATGGTTCATTTGTTCTGACATTTCCAAATTTGTGTCCTGTTTCAATCTAATCTATCCATTTTTATTTAAAGTTGTTTAATTTGGTTTTTATTTTGAATTTTCTTAACTTTTAGAGAATATATCCAGCTATGCAAGAAGCTTTCTGAATCAGTTATCAGTAGTCTGCTAGTGACATTGTCCGTTATTTTATTTTGAATCTAATTAGGATTCAAAACACTTAACTACTATGTAGTTAATTGAGGTCATGAATTAATAGTGTTTGTCTTTTATTCTTTACCTTGATTTCTTTTTGCGAATTTAAGTAAAATTTTAATTTGTTGTAAAAACTCTCATCAAATAAAGTAGTTTGAATTCTATACAAAATATGTATTTATATTCAATAGTTTTGTTTTTTTAAAAGTCCAACATTTTGTTTATGTTTTATTATTGATATTTTGATGAGTTGTATTTTATCTGCATGAATGGCTTTTGTCAATTGCAGACAGTTTTTATTTATTTTTATTTTTTAATTAAGTCTGTGTCATGTAAAAGGCTTTTTTTTATTTTAATTAATTTTTTTAAGTCTGTGCATTCTGGCATCTTTGAAACCAGCTTTAAGCTAATTGTTAATACAGAAGCCAACTGTGTTAGTTGATGATCTAATAAATCAAAAATCAGGCCATGTGGAAATAGTGCTTTTATCTTTTCTTTTAAATGGTGGTTGGTGTATGTATATTCTAGTAAAATGTTTATTTCTAATATTTTGCTGTTAGTAACATGCAATTGATGTAGGATTATTATTTATGTTATATGTATTATAGAGATGCAAATTAGTCTCATAATTTTGTAGTCCAGCAAGTTTTTACTATTTTTTATGAGGAACATATCAATATTTTTTTTAAAATTTTATTATTTTATTCTGTGCTCTGTTCGAAACAAGTTTTGAAGAAAATCTCGTGTAGTAAAGAAACTTTTTATGGAAAGTAGAAAAATATTAGGGCTTCTTTATATATTAAACATAATGCCATTAAACCCTTTATGTTATTTACGTCTCATGCTAACTATTTTTTGTTATTATCATAATGTTACATAAAGATTTATTTTCCTAATTGTGAACGATAAGCTTGAAGCTTTTGCTTATCTACACTACATTGAGATTTACAAATTCCACATTTTAATTCCTTTTTGCGCAATTGAATAACTAATTTTTATTTATGATCGCATTTTTTACAATTTGCACACTACAACTTGTATTCATGGGATTTATTTCTCATAATTCATATTTTAGTTATTAATATTCCTACTTGGCTGTTTTGTACGGACATGGTTGAGAAATCACATACTGCAATACGTTTTCACATGATTTATGAATGATTTTCTTTCAGTACTAATACTATACACTGTTTATAAATCATGCACTATCAGTATTAATTTTTATAATGAAGAATCGTGTTGCAGATTGAATGGTTTTGAGTAAAACTGTAAGCAATTTCCTGAGATATATTAATCAAGGGATCAGATAATATTGTGTCAAGTGAAGAATTTCTACCCTATTTTAAGAATTTTTGTTTTGTTTATTTTTAATTTTTTTTTTTTTTTTAAGAATGACGTTAATTTAAAATAAGACATCTTTCATTTATTTAGGCAAATTCAATTTTTAAACGTTTTATAAAGTAATGTTAATATTTTATAACCTCGATTCCCTTAGAAGTTGAATTTCCTGATTCTGTTTAAAACCTTTGGTACAATTTAAAGTTAAAAGCTGAGTTTAGTTATTTCACTTACTTTGAAAGTGTGTTAACATTTCCTCTTGATTTTAGGTTCTCTTGTGAACTTTCAATCACTGAGTTTAATTATTCTGAGGAAAAAGTTGATCCTATTCAATCTGGTCTACCTCACAGAACCACCATAAAAACTGAAGAAGAAAGAGTACCTAAGAGAAAGTTTTCAATTAGACGTGCTTTGAGCGCTCAAATAGTTCCTAATGTAGAGCCACGCCAGCAGCGAAAATCTTATGCAGGCTTTCCTAATAGTGCACAGCAACCTGAAGTGCCTCAAGTTCGCCGTAAATCTTTAAGTGAAGTCATTCAACCAGAGCGCGTGATAAGAAATATGAGGTTTGGTTTTACAGTCGGTGTCATGCCCGACCTCTCGTCCAACGACAAACACGCTGAGCTTTTCAATTCCTTGAAGTCTTTAGGTGATGAAGACAATGAGCTGAACATCATGGAACTTGCAAAGACAGCAATTGGAATGCAACAAGAATCCATCCACCAGCATTGTACAAATATGAATTCCCAAACTGATGAAAATATCAGCAAAGCGCTGGTGGTACCTGATAGTAATCCTCTTATGAGCTATTGTTATATGGATGAAGATAAAACCATTAAAATTAATGAAATCTACAATGTCACTGATGCCGACTCAAGTCTAGTCTTGACCGATGAAGAAAGGTTGCTGAATAGTGAATTGGAATGGGAAAACAATTGGGTCAACCCATCTGAATTTAAAACTGGCTATGATAGGTCTTTTGTAGATTCTTTAGACGATCACGAATTTGATTATAGCGATAATGAGTGTGATATAACGGGTAGTGATGTTTTTCTTGAGACCAAAGAAGATATTTCTATGGAATCTCATGAGGAGGAAGCTGTCACTAGGCGTCAGAGAAAAATGGGGGTGGCTGTAACGAACATTGCGGAATTGAAACTCACGAAACCCCATAGAAAATCTTCGTTTGTTATTATGAACCAGGAAGATGTTGATATTAGTAAGCCGCGTCGAAAAACTTCGTTTGTTATATTGAAATAAGAAAAGTATTTTATATTTATTTTGAAAATAAATTTTTTACGCTACGATGCCATTTTTTAAAAAGATCAAAATTTGTAGATAAAAATATTTTAGTTAATGATTTAAAGGCTAGTTTTGATTTATTTATTTATTTAAGTTTAATAAGTTAAGATTTTTTTTAAAATTATTAATTTATCATTACCTCTTTTACTTTTCTTGTCTAAATTAAAGGTTATTTATACTTTAATGATATGACAGAGTCACTGTGTAGTTTCTTGTCTTATGTGATAGCTTTAAGAATTTCATCTGTATGTTGTGTTCAAGCAATGTGTGTTGATGTATTTTTCATTAAACATGTTTTTATTTATGAGCCTATATGTTGTAATTTATTCTTATATTATACTATGGGTACAACTATCATCTCATTTTTTTTCCATTGACATTTGACTAGCATGATCTCATTTTGTGCCATTTGTATTGAGCTGCGAGTGTATTTAAACTTTCCTGTTTTCAATGTTGAAGTCTTTGTCATGTTATTTTGCTTTGTGAATAAAATTTTATGAAGCTTTAATGCATTGTTTCTTATTGTTTTGCTCTGTATCAAATAAATATGGTATGTTTTAAATTTCTAAGATATTTTAGTCGAAATTACGTCATTCTAAAATGTGGAATATAGGTTGGAAAATTTTTATATATAAATGTGGAATATATATAAGGTAAAATGAAGTAGTTGGGGGGCCATGGGTCAACTAAATATTAAAAAAGGTGATTAAGGAATTGTCAATCGCCACCAGATTGCTACTCGTTTTAACAAAGATGCTCTCTGTGCCACAGTAAAATGGTCGTTAATAGAGGTTGGTTGTTCTTAGAGGTTACCTTTGACTTTAAAATGTTATTGGAAGTACCTGATTTTTTGCTAGCAATTTGAATTTTACTAAGTGTCATTTTCTTGGTTTGGAAATGCCACTTATGTTGGCGCCATGAAAACCGTATCGCTGAATAAAATTTAGCGTCAATAAAACCTACCCCTACTAATGTAACCGTAAAAACTATTTTAAATAAAGAATTATGTTTTTGTTTAAGTTAGCACTTAATTCATATAATCAAAATTAGTTTACTTTCAAAAAATGGGAGGTTTTTTTAAGATTCTTAATTTGTTTCCTTAAATAATATTTTTTCTTTCTAGTTGACAAAACACAACTAAATCATTGATAGCATCGTCTTAAGTGCACTACTGTAACATGAGGTTGTCAATCTCTTTCACTGATCCTCAAAAAGAGCTCTAAATAAGGGCCGCTCACAAATATTTTGAATACATTTGAATCGACTCATTTGCTTTGTTAGTATTTTTATTTTTATAATTTTTTGAGAATCTTATGATGTTTACCATATGTTGAGAAAAACTTTCAAAATAAGTGCCCTACATTATCAATGTCAACAGATTTTAAATCCTTTAAAAATTAAAATTTTTAGAAAAGTGGCCACATGATCTAAAAAGTAGTCACATTTTAAAATGCTATAAGTCACACCCACTGAGCAATAGCAAAATTTTTCAATTTTGCCCTTTAATATAGAACAGTGGTTACCAACTGGCGGCCCATGAAGGCTTTTTTTTTGTGGTCCGCGAACTAAAATATATTAGTTGCCACTTTTTTACGGATAATTTTCGTAAAAGATCTACATGGGCTTATAATATTTATCTTTTGTTTTTCAAAAAAAAAAAAAAAACCTAATTTCTTCGTTTCTGTGAAATTTATCATACAAACGGGGCAAAAAAATTTCTTTCTCAGGTTTTGCATCCAAGAAAAGATTTATTCTAACACAAAAGTAATAGTGTATGTTGCTCTTTTTTATTTCCTTTATTTTTTTGTATTTTGTGAATATAATGTAGCATGTGCGTATCAGAAATTTTCTCGAAGACATTCTCCGATTTAACTTTTTGAAACCACTCATTTTGGACGAAATTATTTACATTTGTAAGTTTTAAAACACATAAAGGGGGTAATGAATATCATGTTTTGATTAAGTTGCGGCCTGCCATTTGACTGGTGTTTTTAATTGCGGCCCCTGGTTTCATGTAAGTTGGAAAACCCTGATATAGAACATTTTTTCTCAAAGGTTTGAAATGAAATGGCATTCATTTGAAAAAGATGTTTTGTAACACCGCTTGCACAATCTAATGTCACCATACCCTCCACCCACTTTTAGGTTACAAGAAGCTAATTTTGCAATAAAAATGTATAGAAAACTTTATGTTGTTAGTAAATAGAAGTTCAGTTCGTTTAGTTCTAGGTTTTTTTTCTTTTTTGTATGTATAAGCGCACTTTCACATTTATATGCATTTGGATTGTTTTATGAAACAAGTATAATGAAATTAGATTAAAATGATTTATTCAAAAATGCCTTGCTAAAGACCACATTCTCAAAGTTATGTTTCATATATTTAAACCATTTGCAACTCAGCTAACAATAAATGGTCCAAAAACGTTATGGTTAAAGTTTTCTGTTACTTTTAACATGTGTACGTTAAATGAACTTATACACTCAAAATTATGTATTGCATCTGTCAAGACTTGTAAAACAAGAAATGATGAAGCCGAAGAAATAAATTTTTGTCATTTGAATCGAATAAGATCTTAATTTTTTTCGTCTCTTTCTGTCTGATGCTTCAAACTATCCCGAAGTTTTCAAACAATAAATTTTGAACATTAAAAAAAGATTCATTGCGTAATTTGAAGATTTTTTTCTTTCAATTTGACATGGGGGCAAATGAATGATATAAAATTCTACAACCAACAAACTACTATCTGCTGACGTTTTAATTTCAGACCGGGAAAATATATATAAAAGCAGGAAAACAATGATACAATTAGTTCCTTCTAGTGTGTTTGGAATTTTTATTTATTTTTTGTGTTTTCTGCATGTACTCTTCAAGGATTATGTGGTTATTACACTGAGAGTATGTTTAATAATAATCAAAATTTTCCTTGTGACGTTCATTGGCAGGGAATGTTTACGACCTTTTGTCAACAACACATGCGCATCTTCCTTATATTTTTTTGGGAGGGGAGGGAGAATATTCACGTTGTCTTTGAGCCACGTTTCTTGGTAATTTTGAGTAGAGCATTAAAATAGGACATGAAATTTGTATCGCTGTTTGAAAAAACGAAGGGTATCTGTACTGTATTATATTAACGCTAGAAAGACGAATTACTATTTAGGCCTCTATCGTTTTTTGTTGTTCCCGAATACGAAAAATATTTTACTGAAAAATGTTGATTTCTGACTTTTCATAATTTGATTCAATTTAAGTACTTATTTAATTATTCCTGTGTAGGGAATGTGTGTATATATATACCTTATACCTAGAATGACAGAAAGGCCCAGAGTGGCCATTTAAGTATTTTGGTAGGTCCCATAATCCTAGGTAGGTTTGGGTGTAAAGCTCCCTTTGGTAAGTATAAGGTACACCAGTTTCGTTAGAAAAAGTGTACTTCATATATCTACCCTAGCAGCAAAATAACCGGGGCCAATATTCATGAATCTTGGCTCAGTACGGGTTCAAAGGGCCTCTATTTTTCCAATATTGGCCCTTTATAGAATTTTACGATTCAACCGATATTTTACTGCCACTTTACAACCGATATCGGTTCCATATAGAATTTTCAGATTCACCCGATATTTTACAGCCACTTTACAAACAATATCGGTTCCATATAGAATTTCTTCTAGAACATGCACCGAGCCAATTTTGAACCCAAATGGGGCCAAAGTAAAATTGTTGTTAGGGTACTTATTATTTATAAAGAAAAGGAAACTTAATTATCCACTAAGCTAATTTTTAAGTATAATAGAAAAGTCTGCGTTTTGTTTAATCATATACTTACGTTAATCAAATCGAATACCATAGAGATTTGATAATCAAGTCTCTAAAATATTTTTTATTAAATTATGATTATATATCGGGATTTTTAATATCTAATTGATCTACGCACAAACAATCTTGGAAGAGCCACACTGACCCCTTCAGACTTTCTAGGTATAACGCAATGTTTAGTCTTTCTAGTGTTAAAGATGAATACGAAGTATAAAAGTAAAAATGTAGTTCTAAAAAAAAGGAAACTATCTGATCGTTTCGGTACTTTTAAAGTTGGTCAAAAGTAATTAAATATGGTCTTGCGTTTGTCATTTTCTGTTAGACACGACATGCGTTGTCCGACAGTATCTGCTGTAAAAACGATCCTAGATATGATCACATTCTTAGTGTACAGTGCGGAAAAAAAAAAGAAAAAAAAAAAAAAAAAACNAAAAAAAAAAAAAAAAAAAAAAAAAAACCCACGCTGAATAATCGGATCATCCCATAGTAGGACTTTTTGGTTTGAGGGGAGGGATCTCAAATATGCTAATTACTTAGTGCAGACGATATTTTAAGTTAGGAAATCGGACACATAAGCGTAATTTCTCTGAATAAGCATATCTTTTTTTCGACGGATTTGGATTTCTAATCCCCGAGATTTATGGGAGATTCCATAAACCTGGGACACTCAATATCAGGGAGGAGCGTGGTCTTATGTTTGTTCCCGTTAATCTTAATTAATAATATTTTTCGTATTTCACCATATCTCGAAAAAATTTTAAGCGAATTGAAAAATATTTTATTCAATTATAAAGTTTGTTTATCCAAAGATAATTCTATGCAAAAAATTATTTTTAATAATTATTTAGCATTTTTTTTATTAAATTTTTTATTAGTTGAAAATTTTTAAATTGTAAGGTTTAAAGTTTTTGTATCATTTTAAAGAGTAAATTTTACCTGGTCAAATGCAAAATTTGAGTTAAATCTGTCCAATAGTTCCTAAAAAATCGATTTTTAGAAAAATCGTAAGTTTATGAAAGTTGAATGTTTTAACTCATTTATGTAAAAATATAAATTTTTCATATAAAATTAAAAAAACCAAATTATATTTAGGGCGATAACTGCAAAATTAGTTAAATAATCGATTTCCTAATGTTTGCGTTTTTGAAATGTATTTAACTGAACAATAAAAAAAAGTTGAAAAAAAGATATTAAATTGCTGCAAAACTGATGAGGTTTCCCTACTGTTTTAATTATTCATATACTTTCCGATGCTAATTTTAGTTCTTATTCCCTTACTTTTCATGTTTAAAATTTAGAGAATAACTACGCAGACACTGCCTAGTTGGTTGGGCGTTGGGCTCATGTCTTAAGAAATCGTGAGTTCTATCCCCGCCTACAGACTTCTCCTTTAGTAAAGGGTGACTGGTGCTCATGAAATCTGTCGGGTCACTAAGTCTTCCATGATCCTATGGAGGTAATGAATTGGAGATTGATCGTTCTTTTGTTCTAAATCACGATTACGGTCTAATTTACGATCTGTGGATGTATGAATATGAATGGGCTCGCCCTATAAACGGTCTTTGATGTACGTGTGTGGAAGAAGTCGAATTCTTGGCCATAGATGGCGCCACTGATAAACAAGAAGAAGCGCCTTTTGACTTAATGGCATACGACAAGAACAGAGAATAATTATCGAAATTATCTACTTGAAT